TGGCTACTTTTTATTATCTCTTTTCATGGCTGTATTAGAGTCTATCTTCATAGCACCTGTTCCTGAGATATTCCTGTGTTTGTATGTATTATATAGACAAAGTCTATCAGTTGATATATCCAGCACTATGAACAACACTCATAAAATAGAGTTACATTCAAGTAACTCTATCTTCTGTGTGTTCTATAGTTCACAGTTAAATCAAGAAAGTATTCCTTTCATTATGTAATTATACCTTCAGTAATAGCTTTCTCTATCCTGAAATACTTAGTGTGCTCTTTGATAGCAATAAATTGTACAGTTAATTTCAGTTACAAAGCCTTCTCTGAGCAATGTATATTCAGTTATTGAATATAAATAATAATAAGTCATATTCTATACCTGGATATTACATGGCTTTTAATTTCTAAATATGAGCTTTGCTGTTTGGATGGTCTAAATGTCTGGCATAATTGTTCACTATCTTCCCAAATGTGTTGGTATAAATCTGCAATCAGCTTTAATTATTCATTTATTCAAGTTGTATTCTCACTTGCTGGCTGGATGATAAGGTGAAAAGTAATGTCATGACTGCCTATGATGTTTGTTACATTTTTGGTTGTAGTTCATGAAGCTATGTGTTTTTATAACCAAAACACCTTCAGAATTATGGACAGTACTTCTGACTTTTAGTGCCTTTTCCTGTTTACCTTAGAATATATGATTATCCGTCCTCCCTGTAAACAGTTTATCTATTATTTGGATTAGATTAGGACATCTAAGCACAAACCTTAGTTTTCAAAATGTTTTTTGCTTTTTAGTGGTAGTTGTTGGAGCACACTATTGCTCTGGTTGTTTTTAAATCTCATTGAGATAGATTTCACATTGTTAATGTAAATCCTTTATAGCTTTGGCTGAACTTGTGCAAGAGCTCTTGGTCATGACAGCTGAGATCAGCTGGCTGATCTCTCTTAATGACAGTTAGATTTAAATTTTGTGGGCTGGACACAGATCTGTTTGGGACTTGTCTGGTTAATGCATGATGGCGTTAAATGCAGACTTCAAATGGGCCACCTTGTAAAAAGAAAGTCTTAGTCTCTAGAGTTCACTACCTTTCTTAGTTTGAACCAGTTTGAGTTTTTAACTCTCCATAGGGCCTGGTAATTTGGGGAGAAGGAAACTAATATGAACTTCACATTTTCATTTCAGTTTAAATTCTGAGATTTCTTGATTCTCTGGAGCCAGTGTGTCTCAAAGGTTATCTATCATGAATGGGTTATGACCGGAGGGAAAGAGTGCTGCTGCCTCTTGGTCATGAGTGACAGCCCTTGCCCTCTGCCCCTGGCTGAGAGAGAACCCAAAGCATTGCTGAATAGCACTAAAATGAGCTGAGTCCATGACTTCAGCCAGATGGTCAATATAGGGCTTTTAAATGAAGGGAAATAGTAAAAAAGTAATCTCAGAGGCACTCTCATGTTAAAGAACTGAGAAAATGAAGTCTTTCTGAAGCCAAGTGTAAATTATACCACCTTCTTAGGGAGTAAAAGCTGCTAAATGTAACAGAAGAAAATGACAGTGTAGGAAATCAGAGTTCAGGAACAAACCTTCAGGAGTGGTTTTCTAATGCTTAATCTTGTCTTACTCCTCTCTAAGGATCCACTGCTCCTTTTCCCTCCCCCTTCTCCAAGGTCTGTTTGAAAGGGATTTTGATAGAGAAGAAAGGTAATTTTAAACAGAGCATAAATTAGGGCATAAGATGACCTTTATATAAGAATTATCTTAAATGTGCTTTTGAAAACATATTTTTAAGCCTTATTAAGAAAATAATCAAAGGTATGATTTTTTAAATCTTTGAGTTTGTTCAGCTTTCAGTAAAATAAGGTATAGATAGCAAAATAAGTGAACCTCTTTTTTACTTTCCTGGTTTCTGCTTATAAGATTTACACGTATTTAAAATAAACCCATGAAAAGCAGGAATAGTGTCCTAGGATTGGATAAATAGAACAATTACCTCCAGGCTGCAAAACTCAACTGAGCTTGACTTTTGGAAATAAATTTGGCTAAGACTTCTTCCTCATTCTGTTGTATAAAGGTATACATGAAATGATACTGACCTCTGCCAGAAACCCCAGGAATCCTATTCAGTGATGTACTTGTAATGGTCATGAAAGAATTAAAACAACACAGATGTGGATTAATGTGAAAAAGTAGGCAAAACACTAAATTCTCATTGTGTGGTTTCAATGTGGCAGATCCTTTAAAATACTTTGGCACACCACAATAATTAAAGGGTTTAAGAACATTGAGTTAAGATATCTAGAAAATAAAAGCCCACAATAGAATAACAGGAATGAACTTTGTTTTATTTTTTTTAATTAGAATTAATGTAGGTTACTATGGTGAAAATATTTTGACATACTTAACAGTAATGGTTTTGTGCAGCCCTAGAGATCAAAAACAGCAATGTAAATAAGCAGGACTCTTAAAGACTTATACTCACAGACATGTTTAATGTAAATGATTGCTAGAAGGGAAGTGCATTTTCTTCAATGTTATGCAAAGAAATTTTAATTGACTTGATTTTGGCAGTGAGAATTGTACAACTTAGCATTAATAACTCAAATTTAAAAATATTTGCTCATTGCTCTGGATTATGACTGTTCAAGAAATACTATTTTCAAACACTAATTAATCATTTTAGATAAACTTTTTTTACACATTTATGGCATCAGTGAGTATGACTGTTTATTACATTTTACCTATAAAAACTGAACTGCTTTATATACTCTTTATGGAAACAGTCCACAGTCATAAATTAAAAGATGCAACTGTTTTGGATATTTTACTGGTGGTCCTGTGTTTTCCTGCCAGCAGTGCAGCTGTTTCAGGTTTCTCAGGATAACATATAAAAAGCCGTATGCACACTACAAGTTTATGCTCAAATTGCCAAGCCAGAAATGGTATGACTCAACTTTCCCAGAAGCAAGCTGTACCAAAATGTGATGAATCAAAACAGTTAGTTGCACAGTGGTTTGTTTTACAGCTATGAAAATCCATTCTCATTTGTGATAGTTGGCTTCTTAAGGTTGACAAACATTCTACTTTGGTGCTTGAATTTTGCTGTGAGTAGACATCCATTGAAGCTAAGACTGTGCTTTCCTTTTGAGCATCTGAAGAAAGGAAAGGGTGATACAACATTATCTGGTGTGAGGATAAAAATTAGCTGAAAACTTATATCAGAAATGAAACATTTCATTTTCAAGTTACCTCTAAAAATATTACTCACTTACTATTTGTATGATAGTTATTGAATTCTTAGTAAGGCCAGGTTAATTTTCAGACTTTCTGAGGTGACTTAACACTTACCTCATTTCTTACGCATCAGAATCTTAACAGTTGACATTTTACTGTGTCCTGGGAGGTAATAAGCAAATAACATTATTGCCATGTGGTAGGTATAGTGAATCCCTATTTAAATCTTGTGGGACCTAAGGTTCTATCAAGAGTTTGACAGTGACTAATATCAGTAGTCTCTGAAGTGGGATGCATGTATGTAAGATGGGTTATAGGGAGAAAATACTAGAACTTTTATTTAAATATTTTTATTTCATCCTTTATATTTTGTTTATTTTATAATATATTTACTATATTAGTATAATATATATAATTATATATTATATATGAAAATATATGAGTATTCTATGTATATAATTAATAAATATACAAGTTTCAGAGATGTGTGCTCAAATATGTCTTACTGCTATAAATGCACTATCAAAAAAATTTTAGTTTGTTGCTCAATAAATATTAATTTCCTTTCTCCTTCCCCTTTCACCCTTGGCAGAGAAGCAAAGAACTGAGTTAGCACCTTGATTTGTGGCAGTGTGAATAAATTATAGCCAATTCCAAGAGCTTAGCTTGCCTCTTTGACCAATTTTTCTATTTGGATTCTTATGTTGCCATATATGTGTTAATTACACAGGTTTATTAAACATGGATACAAATGAAAAACAGACTTGTTATTATGTTAGAAGTAATAAGTTGCTCATGCATTAAGATCTTGACACACAGGAAGTTTGAATGAATGAGTAGAAAAGGTTCCAAGTTATTAAAATGTTCTGGTACCTGATTTATTCATTTGCCATACCCATAATTCTAAGGTGGGTGAAGCTCCTTTACTTCCTGAGACTTAAAGAAACAATGTAGTTTCTTAAACTGAACATTAAAGCAAAGCTGGGAATATTTGTTTCCAGTGGTGTTGGTAGTCATGCTAACAAATGCCCCCCTTTGGCCAGGATTGTCCTTTGTTTTGTCTGTTTTTAAGGTAGAAAGCTTTAATTGCTAAAAAAGACTATGTGTGAGTGAGGAAAAACTGTGTCTGTTACACTGTCTTTTGAGATCAAAAGACTTTTCTGTATCTACTATTTCATACATTATTTTGAATTCAGGCTCAGTCTCAGATTCCTTGGCATGTAATTTCTAAGATTTCTTTTCCTGCAAGAAAGGAGACAATATATTTTTGAAATATTGAAGTAATTTTGAAGAAACTAGTATGTTTTCTTCGCTCCCATTTGTTTAGGTATTTAGGGGTTTGCTTTAAAACATATTTATGTAAAAGTATTAGTAATACAATATTATTATGATATTGTATATTTATTAAGTGTATGCCAAGAAGGAGAGCATTAGTTAGGTGCTCAAGCAACAGCGAGTAAAACAGATCAGCCCTGAAAATTGTGAAACAATGAAAATTTTAGTAGCAAGTATTATTTTTGAAACCTCTTTCAAAAACTGTTTTTTTAGACCTTACTATAATTTGCTTTGTATTTTAGTACTAGTTTAGGCACTGTGTGTATAGTTGGCATATTTCCTTTTGAATGATAATAATCCATTTATAAAAGTCAGAACATTTTAATCTCAGAATTCCTCTTTAAAGTTTGAGTCACTTTTACTATTGTTTGTAAAAATGTTACCAATTTGTATTTGCTTTCTATATCAATGCTATACTTTTTGTTTCGTTTTAGATATTTAAACCATGTCAGAGCTGCCTCTCCACAGGACCTTGCTGGAGGCTACACTTCTTCACTTGCTTGTCACAGAGCACTACAGGATGCATTCAGTGGGCTTTTCTGGCAGCCCAGTTAACCTTTACTTCTGTTTATAAGATTTGGACCTTGGAGCTGAACCAGGGAGCTAGCAAAAGTAAAGCAGACTTGTAAAATTATAGCCATATGCAGCTGCACAGAACAGAACTACCAATAGTAGCTGTGTTAAAGTATTTATAAAGAGAAATTTCAGAACTAAACTGAGTAATATGGGGGATACATGTTTGTGAAAAATATTTTTTACTTATATTTTTCTGAGAGAGATTGATGCAGTAAGCCTCATCTGATGGAAGAGAGGAATAAATAATTCACCTATTTATGTTTAAGGTTGACAGACTTGTAAAATCTTTTTAAAAATAAAGCTAGACTTTATATTAAGTTTTGTGGTTTTTCTCTTATTACAATGTTTTACTTGAACACATTTTAAAATGCCATTTTGATTACAACATTTAGTGTTAATATCCAAGTCTATTATTTCTCCTCATAAAATGTTCTCTTTTTTTCCTAATGTCTTCTTAATACTAGCCCAGACAAGTAGATATATTTCCTCCAATCAGCAGACTGTGGCAAGTAAAACCTGACCTATGATAATGTCATTCCCTCAATATTAAGGACTCAATGACTGTTTTGAACAGTGGAAAGTGAGGCAAACCTTGATCAAGGTGTTATAGTTCCCAGCTGTGAGCCACACTCAGGCTAAAACAGAGCACAGCATTAACCTGTTTTAATGATAAATTCAAAGAAATAAGTTAATAAAATTTAATACTTAAATGACACCTTTCACTTCCAATGTGACCTCATTTTATGATGAAAACTTGGAGACTGAAAAAGGTACATTTTAAGTGATATTTCCCTATGTGTAAATTGTAAACTCTGATGTAGCTTTCCGTTTAAATTTCAAAGGCTTTTATTATACCCAGTGTTTTGCTTAAAGAGTTTGTGGATAGGATGATATTTGTACCATCTCAATCTTATATCAGTCTGTTACATATAGACCACTGGATATGGGACATAGTTTCTCAAGGAAATTAAAGGATTTCCTATCAAATCTCCATTACAACAGATGTTATTAGCTTTATGGATAGAAAGTTATGTGAAAGAAGACTTCTGGCTACATTAAGGTGCAATATCCATATGTAATAACTCCATCTTATTTTACTAATAAACAGGTATTAATTTCAGGAATACATCTTCATCTTTACAATACTTTTGTCTTTTATAAATGAGAGAACCAAAATATTGAGTAATTGAGTAGGCAAAGATCATATTCCCAAGTTAGTAAAAAGCCAGAATTAGAACACAGGTTCTTTTTGTTTTTAAGCTGAAGTCCAGTTCTATCTATACTTCACCAGGCTGTATATTCCATTCCACATATCCATTAGGCATTTCCCAAATGAGGATTAGTATTTCTTAAATACAATCTATAAATCTGTTCAAATAATGAGAAGATTGAATTTATAGTTAAGGCTTTGTGGCATCCAATTGCAAAAATAAGGTATCTACTCTATTAAAAACAAACACTATTACTTATTCTTAGTATCTTGTATAATATATTTAAAAGAGAATGAACTAATTAATAAAACATTTCAAAGGCTTTCAAGACTTGTTTTGAGCCTACCTTGTTGTGGAAGTTGCACGTATCTGGTTTGGCAAATGAGTTCTAAAACCTTTATATATTTGTAAATATTTTATACTTGCTATGGCTGTACTATGTTCAATAGGCCAAATTTAGAAGTTGTTAACTGACTTATTAGATCAAACAGAATGATGAAAAATAACCTAATGACAGTAATTCACTGAATTCACCAAACACCAGAAATGTTCTAAATTGATGTGCTTATCCCCTATCCTCTGAATGATTTCCTCTCAGAAACAAAGGCTATGTCTTTCATCAAAGACAAGTCTTTCATCTACATGAATTAAGCCTTTTAACAATTTACAACACTAATACAGAAATATAAATAATAGTTTACAACTACTGTATAACCTATGTGTCAGGCACTGTGCCTTGTGCTTTCTTTGTGTATTACCTAATCCTCTCAACAGTGCTGCTGTTATTTCCCCCATTTTAACATATGAGGGAGCTGAGGCATAGAGGTTAAGTAACTTGCCAAGAGTCCTATAACATAAAAATAGTAGAGTTGGGATTTGAACTCAAGTAGTTAGACTCCAGAGTCCATGCTCTTGAAATGACTGTCAAACAACAGCTGTGTTAAAACTAGGTGTGGGTAGTCAAACTCAATAAGACTTCCAGGAGGTTTTACAGATCAAGCATGTAGATCTTTTAGGGGATATAAATGACATCAACTAAATGATCTTGTTGATACCTGGAGAGAAGTTCTGAGAAATTCATTATGTAGAAAATGATTTTACTAATAACTACATTCCCTTTTAACAGAATGCATTTACATCCTAATTAGGATGCATTATTAGTCTTCTTTAATTTGATTCAATAAATATTTTATCTAAAATTCCTTTCGAAGCTATCTTTAGGCTGTCAACAGATGGTCAGATAATCATTTTAAGGTGGCAGAAAATTTGTCAAAAATTTAATAAAGTTAAAAATTATATCTAATGAACATCAAGAATTCATTTATTAGGTATCACATCTAAAAGTTTAGGGTAGGTCTAGATTTAAATAATTATATAATCACATGTTCACTTATCTACTCTCACTCTGAGGGAAAAGAGGGGAGGAGTTAAAATGTTAATAGAAACATTTAGGGATTCTGTTTTCTTGACAATTATATATTGCATATTTTGTCTAAGGGGTGACTAAATGTAAGCAAGTCTTACCACTTTACATGTATGAATAAGAACATAATTTATACACATACTTCATAACCTAGCACATCAATGTACTCAACCCAGTACTTGGGTTGAGTTTCAGAACAATTTGAGTTTAAATGCCTTTAAATAAGGAATAAGGGGCCGGGCGCGGTGGCTCACGCCTGTAATCCTAGCACTCTGGGAGGCCGAGGCGGGTGGATCGCTCGAGGTCGGGAGTTCAAAACCAGCCTGAGCAACAGCGAGACCCCGTCTCTACTATAAACAGAAAGAAATTAATTGGCCAACTAATATATATAGAAAAAAATTAGCCAGGCATGGTGGCGCGTGCCTATAGTCCCAGCTACTCGGGAGGCTGAGGCAGGAGGATCACTTGAGCCCAGGAGTTTGAGGTTGCTGTGAGCTAGGCTGACGCCACAGCACTCACTCTAGCCTGGGCAACAAAGCGAGACTCTGTCTCAAAAAAAAAAAAAAAAAAAAAAAAAAAAAAAAAAA